ATACTTTCGATACTCGCGTCAGTATCGATATATCGATACTTTGGATGATTGGATCGATACGCCCATCCCTAGATCATAACTGATGGACAACTATGCCCGGGAAAAGACATCAGTAGTCCGGCGCCGAGATAAGAAGAAGAATTTAAAAAAAGCCCAAGATGAAGCCCGTGCACCACTTTTAGGCACGTTCATAATCCTGTGAAACTTTTTTGGATGTTGATGTTAATAACGTGTTTTAATGTCGGTAAAAATATCACCGCCGCATCTGCCTTAATATTTTCTCAGAGTTTTCATGTTCCCTTACGAAAATTAACCATAATTTTACTACGAATAAAAAAACCGATACAAAAAAAAACATGGTTCTTGTAGCGGTGTAACCACAAATTAACCATGGTTTTGATACTTCAAATCGCTTCAAATAATAATTTACGAAGTATTCAGATAATATCTTTGTGGTGATAAAAACAGACCTAAGCGAACAACGATCTTTAAAATGACATAAAATGCATTATATAAAAACAGTGAGGCAATAATGATTGGTTAATTAATAATAATCGTATGGTTTCATTGAATAACACTGTTAAAATACATAATGTAATAGGCTACAAAATAAACAATTTATGCACATTACATATTGTTACAAATGCCTGCAAAGGGCGCCAAAGGCCTGGTAATTGCTGTTGTAACACTTACAGGATGATCAAATCCTTGTTTAATATTGACCAAACATTTAATACAAATGTCCACTTAATCTTTAATGTTTGGCCACCTTTTTGCGATAGAAATGCCTAGCCTCTATTTCTTCAACAAAAACATGTGGACATCACAACCTTTACAAAAACTAGGCTAATCCTTGGGTTTTATCCAAGTAAAACGGCTTAATTTTCTTTTGTGTGATTTCTGAATGCTTGACTATAAAATCAATCAGACAACTGTATTAATAAAATCATAGCGACTGTCTACCTTGTAATTTGTAAATAATACAATTTACTTATTTACTTTTATATTTTACTAAGGTTCTGTTTTGACCCTTATAGTAGTTTTTTTTTTTTTTACGTCCATAATATTTTGGGGAGGGGGCACAACAATACAATTCTGCTTAGGGCACCCATTTGGCCAGCAGCGGCCCTGATAATAGTCTTGATATCGTCAAAGGCATCAGCCACAGGTGATATCTCTGACTATTGGTGATACACTATTCTGTCGTCTATCAGCACAACCCTATTTCATATCAATGTTAAAAACAGTTGTGCAGACTAAAATTTTTGTAAAAACCATGATACTTTTTTTCCAGGATTCTTTGAACAGAAAGTAAAAAAAAAAAAAAGAAATCTTTTGTAACATTATAAAAGTCACCTTTGATCAATTAAATGCATCCTTTGTTAAATAAATAAATAAATTAAATGATTTATTTATTAAAAAAAAAAAATCTTAACAGTAAACAAATGTAGTGTATCTATTGTAATATAGCAAAATTTCTTTTAAATACATCCGTAGGGGCCATTCACACAGAAAGCGGTTTTCCATTTCACTGCACCAAAAACACATTTTGTGTGAACTGGCTCTTATACTATCCAGTTTTAGTAGTACCCTGTGAATGTGTTGTTTCTTATCTAGTGTGGTTCCTGTGGAGCTAATCCCATAACAGATTCTTAACACATACTGGAAAATTAAAGTTGACATTAAACATTGAGTCATAGACCATATAAATCAATCAGCCTGTGCTAATAATTATAGGTTACTTGATTACTCCTATCACGTTAAATCATGTTTGATTTGAAACTTGATTAAAAAAACAATGTACATTCTCATCCAAAAATTCACATTTCTCCAAAATAACAATGTAGGAATATCACGCTTGTAAAATAAAAGCTCAATACTATGTTGAAAATAAAAAATTTAATTGTTTTGTGAATTGCAGTGCATAACACTACTACCTGTAAAATTCTTGAAACCTTTCTACTCCAACAGTACTTTAAAAAGTTTTTGAAATAAGTCTCTTATACTCACCAAGTCTTCATTTAATCAAAAATATATACAAATATAGTAATATTGAGAAATATTGCTGCAGTTTAAATTTCTATTCGAATACATTTTAAAATGTAACTTATTCCTGTAAATTTTCAGCATCATTACTCCAGTCTTCAGTGTCACATGATCCTTCAGAAATCATTCTAATATGCTGATTTGGTGCTCAAGAAACGTTTCTTATTATTATCATTATCATTTTTTTCAGGATTCTTTGATGAATAAAGATATCAAAAGAACAGCTTTTATTTGAAATGGTAATCTACAGTAATCATTTATAGTAACTTTATACATGTCTTTACTGTCACTTTTTTTTTTATCAATTTAATGCATACTTGCTGAATAAAAGTATAAATTGCTTTAAAAATAAATCTCATTGATCGATCAATCAATCATTTATTTCTATAGCACATTTAAAAACAACACAAGTTGACCAAAGTTCTTTACAGGCCCAAAATTACAAAACTTATAAACACTCAAACCATAAAGCACAACAAAACACTAAACAAACCCCATGAAGCTAAGAACAGTTAAAAGCAGCAGAGAAGAGATGAGTCTTCAACATCGATTTAAAACACTCTATGGGACAAAACTTATAAACACTCAAACCATAAAGCACAACAAAACACTAAACAAACCCCATGTAGCTAAGAACAGTTAAAAGCAGCAGAGAAGAGATGAGTCTTCAACATCGATTTAAAACACTCTATGGAGTCACAGGATTTAATATGTAGAAGGAGGTTATTCCAAAGACGTGGTTATTCCAAAGACATCCGCCCTTGGTTTTTAGCCGAGATTTTGGAACGTTTAAAAGGAAACGAGATGATCTTAGGGATCTGGCAGCACAATGAAGCTGTAACAAACTAATATGTACAGGGACAAGCCCATGTAAGCCTTTAAAAACCATTAAAAGGACCTTGTATTGCACCCTATACTCAACAGGGAGCCAGTGCTAAGAAGCCAGCATCGGAGAGATACTGGAACATTTCCTGGTGCCAGTCAACAGTCTGGCTGCTGCATTCTGCACCAGCTGCAGCCGTGAAAGCAAATTCTTAGACATCCCCCAAATATAGAGAATTACAATAATCCAATCTGGACTAAATAAATGCATGGATCACAGTTTCCATACATTTAAAAGACAGGAAGCTTTTCAATTTGGCAATACCCCTCAATTGACACCAAGCTTTCTCACCTGAGTGTAATTTCATTGATCCTAAACTTATAAATGATAGTGTACCATTATCTCCGTCTACATCTTGTAAATTTATCAGCCTACCACCTAGAAGAACTTAGCAACCACCTAGCAACACTCCTGCAACCATGTAGAACACCCTAGCAACCTTGTAGGTTTAAAACATCAAATGTATCTTTAAACAGCTCAAGTATTCAAACTACATAAGGCCTGAAAAAACCTTCAGAGAGAAATTGATCCTGATGAATTTTCTAGGCACTGAAATCTCTTGCTTAATTATTTTGGGTTTGTTTGTTGTCCAGGTCTGGGTAAAACCATACTGCCCCAGATGGAAGGTCTCGTGAAGTCGGCTAGCCTTCTGTACTTTCGTGTCTTCAAAAACCAGACGGTTGGCTACTTCAGCTCAGCGATCAGTGTTTTCTGGAACACTCCTGTGATGGCACCTGCTCTTTTCTTCTACTCTGAGAACGATGCACTGTGCGATTACGAGAGCTTGGAGAAGATGGTGGAGTTCTGGAGGAGCCGCGACCTAATTGTGGAGAGCAAGAAGTGGAAGGAGTCTGTTCATGCAGGTCATCTGCGCATACACCCTCAGGATTATCTGTCCACACTGGAGAAGTTTGTGCAGTCTCTTAACATGGTGCCTCTGAAGGCCAAAATGTGAATTCTGAAGGCTGTCACTCGTCTCATTAAACATCCAAGTTACCTGAAGTGCCTGGTTTTAATGTCACATAGACATTCTCATACTCTTTGTTCAAGTGGTACTTTGTTAAATTGCTGTCTTGCTTTCTCAAACTTCTTCAGCCTTTTTATATTTATGTGACTACATGAAATCCTTTTCAGCCAAAAATTCATACCTGGTCCAGAAGAAGAAGAATCTGAGCTCTTTTTGAAGACCGTAGCACTGGGATGTTGGGGTTGTGTAATACTACATACAGTCTGCTGATATGCGACCAGTTAGGTTTATTTGCACTACAATTTGAAGTTCCTGTACTTTTTTGTCCAACATCTGTTCGGACCTCAAAATGACGGTCTATCTTGAAATGCAAAACTGTTTATCTTTTTTTTTTTTTTTTTTTTTAAAAAATAAATTTTTTTTTTTTTTTTTTTTTGATAAACAGTAAGCACTTGAATAACACTTAACAGGTTTATTAGACCTTTTGTTAATAGTGAATCATAGTTTATATTACAACTTAATGTTTAACATCTATAGTATGTTCATTTGAATACATGACCTTTGATACCGGTTACTTCAAAAGGAAACAGCCCTGACTAATTATTTTTAAATCTACAGAAATGACTTCTATAAATTTGTCCATGATAAACTATGAATTAAAAAAATATTATTAAATATAATACACTGTTTGACACAATTCTGGTAAACCTATAAAATCTTGTTTTTCTAGCAATGACAGATGGTTAAAGGAAAGGTGGTATGTTCAGGTACCTATGCAGACAATATGGTAAATACAAGTAAAGTGGGACACTTAGGTTTTTGTATTACATATTTCTATATTTTTATTCTTTATAGTGTAATGAAAACCTTTAGCTTATGTCAACTTGAATATTTTAAAAGGTTTATGGCAAATTATCAAAGTGTGCTGCTTTACAATGCATCAATGCAATAATTAAGGTTTTTACTTTTTTGTTGCTTCATCTTGCAAAAGTCAAATAAATCATTCTTATTAATGATGTTGTTTTTTTGTCTGTTTAGACTAGAAGTCTAGCAAAAGGGTTGTGCAAGACGGAACTGAAGTCAGAATTTAGCAGAATGTTGTTTAAAATGAATGACTTGAGTTGATTTCCTCTAGAGGGCGTTTGTCGACTCAGAAAACATTTGTACACGTAAAGCTATATTCGTGTAAATGCAGTATTATACAAATAATATAAAAACTATATAATATTGCACAATGATTATTACTAGTAAAGCAAAGTGAAATATAATTCATTCTCATTTAATGATTAAAAGATTATCATCGAATAAACATAGATGACTGTGATTGGGCCCTGTCCACCAGCGTTGAGAAAAGTAACAGGTACCACATTACAGCCTCGTTAATTCAGCAACTGTCATGAGAGTAATTTTCACCTGAATGATTATATTGAGAAACTTTATAGACATTTAAATGAAGACAGAAAGAGAGAAAGGGGAAAAAAACTGAATAATTAAAATATAAAAATGATAATTTAGACCCATTTTACCTGGGCCACTCAGCCCCGCCCACTTCATTACATTTTTTGGATGTGATGTGAATTCTAAGAATGTTAGATTAGCAAGTTTCCAAGCCCACTTTTTCTAACTAACCTATACTAACAACTCCCATAACTAACAAACATAACCTCATGACCATTTCTCCTAATTCACACCGCACCGACAAACGCCAACAGACACGTTGGCCGCTGGATTTAGAATTTTATGAAAAATAACTGTCATGTTCACACTGCCCCAACAGACACCAACAGACTTCAAGTCAGGGAGAGTTAACTAGGGGGAAAAATGGATGATCTTGTAACAACAATCAAAATTATACTGTTATTAATGTCTTTGCGTGTCATTCTTCGCCTGAAAAGACGGCGAATAAAACGAAAGAGGCTGTGGGTGAAGCCGTGGTTGCTGCGACGGGGAAGACGGGGCGCCTACTTGAATTTATGCAGAGATCTGCAGTCGGAAGATTTACAAAGCTTTCAAAATTTTGCTCGGGTGGTCCCTAATCAGTTTCAGCAGTTACTTCAGATGGTGACACCAATCATTCAAAGGCAAAATACAAATTTCAGAGATGCCATTTCACCTGGTGAACGCCTAATGATAACTCTTCGCTTCTTGGCAACAGGTAATAACCTAATGTTTCCTCTTCGATCCGTGTAAATAATTAGCAGTGTTGATAATTATACAAGAAATAGGTTGAAATGTTCAATATTGTAATTCTAAAAGCTTTTTATTTATTGTTTTATTCACAGGGGAATCATTTCGTAGCCTGCATTACGCTTTTCGCATCGGATGCTCAACTTTAATCGAACTTATACCTGAGACATGTAGAGTCATCTATCAGGTTCTCAAAGAAAGACATCTTAAGGTATGCATTCCGATCCTCACCACTTTGGTTTAATCAATATGTCATTATAATTACCTTATTGCAAAGAATAAGTGGGTATCCGCTCTGTTCTTCTCGTTTGAAGTATGCGCATCGTTATGGGAACTGTCCGGTCAGGTGGTGCTGAACAAAGTGACGTGACATGTGGCCAAGTATGGTGACCCATACTCGGAATTAGTGCTCTGCATTTATCCCATCCAAAGTGAACACACACACACACCGTGAACACACACCCGGAGCAGTGGGCAGCCATTTTTTTGCTGCGGCGCCCGGGGAGCAGTTGGGGGTTCGGTGCCTTGCTCAAGGGCACCTCAGTCGTGGTATTGAAGGTGGGAGAGA